CGGACCCCCGTCGGGCGAGGCAGAATCCCCCTTCGAGGGGTCTGGCGAAACGAAGTCCCGCGCCCTCGGGGTCGAGCGAGATGGAGCCCGCATCCTTGGGGTCAGGCATGACGGAGGTCTATGCCCTCAGGGTTGGGCAACATGGAGCCTGCCCCCTCGGGGCCGGGCGAGGTGAACATCGCGCCCGAGGGGTCTGGCGGGAAGAGGCCCGCACCCTTAGGGTCCGGCGAGACGGAGCCCGCGCCCTCGGGGTCAGTCGAGACAGAGCCCGCGCCCTTAGGGTCGGGCGAGATGGAGCCCATACCTTCGGGGTCAGGGCGGGATGGAGCCCGTACCTTTGGGGTCGGGCGAGACCAAAATACGCTCTTGACCATCCGGGCGAGTTAACGTTCACGGCCATCAGCTTCCTTCTTTCAGGTATACCTAATACTGATACCCAGACACTTGCTCTCTAGATCAACCCTTTTCATTTCTTCAACTAAGCATCTCAAATGTCAATTAGATCACCACTTTCATGTTAGCCTTCCAAGCACCACACCTGGTTTACCTACCAATGGCGGCAAGTCCCTACACTAGGGAGAAGTGACCTCTCTCCAAAGAACCATTCTTGATACTCACTTGAAATAACTTGATTGATTGATCCAAGTAATGGACTTAATTTGATGAATAACCAAACTTAGATGCCTCAAACACTTATAAACATGATTCTAACTTGAGGACCTTTCAATCAAAGTGACTCTTGATCAATCCAATAATTGTCACTTTTTGGGCAGATTATGTACCATTCAATGAAAAATCTATATCTCCCAATGTATAGATCCAATTACCATAAAATTTGGTGGAGATATGCTTCACTAAGTCATCTAGCAGCTGTAAAAATTTGAGCTTTATTTGACTTTTATGTTGCTACCAGATTTTAATTCTTCCACCACTGCTACATATTGAAAACTATTGCACTATAGCTGACAAGATCTACTCCAAAATCAAAGCATCTCTTATCCAATTCACATGAAATTCAAATAGCAACTTATACCATAAGTCTAGAGCATGTAAACCAATTTTCATGCCAATCCAATAAGATTTGGTCACTCAAACATGGCTAAGATCACACCTCACTCAGATTTTGCAATATAGGATAGATTTCAATCACTTGATCTATACTTCATCAAATTGAATCAAACTTAGAATCAACTTGTTTGAATACTTTCATAATACATATATCTATTCAATCCACTTACTAAAAGTTATATCATAAACTTATCCGGCACAAATCAATCCGAATTTGATTACTAATCCATTCAATCATCTCATAGCAAGCTTCAACTCAAGTATTTGCAAGCCATCAAATATTTCCTATATATTACCACAAATTGAATTATAGCACTTGTATGTTGTAGCACATTTGGATTTCACTTGTATTGACTTGGCATTTGGTTTAGATGTGCACTAAGCTTCATAACTTGATTCAACACATGATGAACAACAAGAAACCAATTGAATCAAACCTCCAATGCCAAGATACCTACAATCAATCATTCACTTTTTGATGGTACCCAAACTTGTTTGGGTCCTCTCAAGTTAGAAGCAACATACTTAGGCATAGCCTTATTATGAGTAGCGGGATGTTTTGCAATAGCAACCAATGAGGTACCATTGCCATCCTTTCTAAGCACAACATTATCATCAATTGAAATGGGCTTAGAATTATTACCTAGGGGACATGAATTAGCCATGTGTCCCCTTTCCCAGCATGAGTAGCACTTTCTCTTTCTCTTTGATTGAGCCTTCTCTTCCTTGCTCATGTCGTGCTTCCCATTGCCTTGCTTCTCCTTGTTTGCTTGAGCCTTCTTCTCAATCTTGTTTGGACAACCACTTACTTTTCACTGTTGCCTTCGTCCATCGGCACCAAGTCTTGCTCAAACTTCACCGCCACGCGGTCTATTGCTCCAAAGCCTCCAACTTGCCCTTCACGCTTGCAACCGGTCCGTCAAGCCAAGTCTTGTCTTGATCTTCTCCACCTTAGTCTCATGACTCAATGTCATGTCTCACATGCAATGAGCTCCTTCATCATATGTGTGAGCCTTGCAACATTTCCAAGCCATTTCCACCTCTATGGCATGTGTTGCCCACACAAGTGTACCTATAGACTAATCGCATGTGTATCTCATATAAACACATATTAATCCACCTAGGTTGTCACTCAATTATCAAAATCAAACAAGGACCTTTCAAAGGCGCACAACTGCTCCATTATGTATAGCAGGTTGCCTCCGGCTGCGCCCGGCTCGGCGTGAGGCCCCTCCTCATGGTCCTGCACCGCCTTAAGCCTCCCGGTCATGTCCTCGACGGTGAGCTGCTCGAAGTCGAGGAGCGTCTTGATCGACATGATGATCTGCGCGTACTTCTTCAACATGCAGCGGAGGAATTTCTCCACCACGCGCTCCTCCATGAGGTCGGTGTCGCCGTTGTGCGCCATCTGCTCCATCGGGTTGGTCAGGCGAAGGGCAAAGTCCTCGACTTGCTCACCTGGCTGAAAGGCGAGGCCTTCCCACTCCCCTCGGATGCGCTACAACATCGCCCAGTGCACATGATCTCCGCCGACGCTCGCCGCGGCGATCGATTCCCATGCCAGCTTCGCCGTGGCGTTGTTTGCGAGGGAGGCGCCAAGTTCGGTGGGGACAGCGGCGCACAGGGCCTCCAGCATCCGACGATCGTCGTCGTAGCTAACGCCGCCGACGTGTACCGCATGCCACAGCCGCTGAACCTGTAGCTTCACCTTCATTAGCAGGCTCCACTCATGGTAGTTCGACTAGGTGAGCATCGGCCATGGCGTTCCCGCTTCGGAGTCGTGGTAGACTGTCTGTAGCACTGGGGAGCACCCGTGGCAACCACGATGCCGCTCTGGTGATGGCGACCGGCAGCGGCGTCCGTCCGGGCTACGCGACCCTCCTCCCGCTCCATCTCAGCACGCAGCGCCGCGGCTGCAGCCACTGTGGCCTGGGCCACAGTCGCTGCCTGCCTGGCCGTCTCGGTCGCGCTACAGCCACTGCCTTTGCGGCAGCAAGGCGCGTCGCACGGTCATCGACTCCTGCTCTGGCCCTAGTGCCGACAGCAGTGTGGGCTCTGGCGATCTAGCTGGCGGTGGACATGGCTCTCTGCTCGCTCAAGAACCTAAAGGCTCCCATAGCTATTGATGGCCCAAAATAGATCTCAGATTCAGATTTGAGAACTACCAGAGGGCAGTTTGGTCCTTGGCCGCTTGGATTGAAATGAAATATAATGGCTTGTTCTGATACAAGGGTGTGCCTCTACTTTTATGGGCAGAGGGCAGCATCTACTTTTTACCTGTTCCAGCATATTTCTTAACCACTAAAGTGGATGCTGAACGTATTCCTATTACAAAGGCTTGGAAGCCAAAGGAAAGTAAAATAAAGAAAAGTAAGATACAAGTGCTACCGAGCACTAGGCTTATCTGTATGATATAAAGACAAACAGAAAATACCCTATTGTTGAGAATTGGCCTTGTTCGGCTGACCTTGAATCCGGCTTGTTTGGCTTCTTTTTCAGCCGGAACAGTGTTTTTCTCTCACAGCATTTCAGCCAGAACAGTATTTTTCAGCCAATTTCAGCCAAGTTTCAGCAAGCCGAACGGGGCCTATATGTGTTCAATTTCAAAATACCATGCGTTTGAGTTCACATCCATCCGGTTCAAAGTCCTAACCATAAATCTCTCTGAAATGTGAAATTAAGATAAATTTCTCAGCTCAACTGGTGCTAAGTCTTGCATCTAATTGATAATATGGGTCCAATTCGAAATAGGATTACTCTGTCTTTATTTCATTTTTTTTTTGTGCATTCATGTGCATTCATTAGCATTTCATGTGCTAAGTTCACACCCATAGGAATACTTGGTGCATTCATGAGCATTTCTAACTTTTGAAGAAAATAGGATTACTCTATGTCTTTATTTCATTTTTTGCGCGAGTCTTTATTTCAAAATTGATAGAACTTAAACATGCATTTGTGTTTTCTTTTCAAATTCCTTTTTCCATGTTCCAAAGGCCTTTAATGGGCCTCCTACTAAACTGGGCTTGCTAAAGACATAGGCTTTCCAGGCTTTTCACGAAACAGAAAATCACTACTGGCTTTTCACGGAACAGAAAAATACATGTTTTGTTGCAATCAGTACTGCTCTAGTGTTCTATTACGTCCTTTTTTTATATAGAAGGACAAACGCTGATGACCATATTCATATGTACGCATGTATACATGACCCATAGGCGCACCGAGGTGTTTATGTTTAGATTCATAATCCAATGACTGACATTCTTAAATGGTTAAGGTATACCAAAATCTAACTTTTTTATTTCATGGTCTCGTTAGTTTTCTTGAAATTATGGTTCATTGCTGTACCGGCATTGCAGGAGAAAAAACAAGCTTTACACTAGAGCAACATTCAGAGCATGATTGAGCACAAATTCTTGCTCATCGGTCAGGTTGCCCTCCCTTCTCTGCATCAGTGAGTTCTACCTTTGTGCACTTTGTTTCAGACTTTCAGGCATGACTGTTTTAATCACAGCTAGGCAAGCAGCTCATTTCAGTCATGAACTCACGATAGATTCATCATTCATGGTACAAGTTAGCATAAGCGTTGAACTGATGTGTCTCCTCGGTTTTACAGATAGATTAAAGTACCCAACCAACTAGCTTTCCGGTCCGGAATCCGGATGCTCAAAAATGCAATAACATTTGTGCCACTCCGGTTCAGCGACCGCAGGACAGTCAAATTCAGCAGATCAGTACCGATTATGAACCTTGCATTCTCCAAGAAAATAGTACTCCTGGCAGCTACGGCACATCAAATTTCCAGTTCCAGGAAATGTAGAGTGACTGTTACAAAGCACAATGCGATCAACAGAGCATAACAGAATCAACAGGGCGTGGATCACCGTTGGCAAAGCGCCAAAGCCTCTCATGTCTCATCACACAATCATCAATTCTCACTGGTCAAATGATGCAGCTGCAGCTGCAGCTGGAGCCCCGGCGAACCTGGTCAGGCTGTTCATCACATCAACGCTACCGGATCTATCGGCAGCCACATTGGCGGTGTCGGCATTGCCACCATTGAAGCAGTAAGCAGGCGCCTGCCACATGGAGTCTTCCAGCACTCCTCCCACCTCAAAGCTCATCACATGCTGCTGCATCCCTGGGGAAGAAGAACACACAGACCATTAACACTGCTGCATCAACCAAGTACCGCAGAAGTGAAGCAATTGAGACTGAAATTAGATATTCGCGGTTCAGGAAAACAGAGACTGCAGTAAGACAAGCACAATGACAAAATTTAGTAGCAATCCCCAATTAAGAACCCAAGCAATTGGAGAAATCCAGATTGCATCTGTGCACAAGTAAATCCCATAATTTATACTGGAGAAATGCAGAAATGTTATTACTGCTAAAAGACAAGCAGAGTTCGAAGTGTCAGGATAACTATTCAGTCTAATTCAGACTGCATCCCTGCACAACGGAACTGTAGAATCGCCACTATAATGCTGCATCAAAGGGAGAAAACTGGAAAAAGTTCCTAGAAATTTAGACTGCATCCCTACAAACTGCGGAGCAAAATTGCACGCACTGTTAGATAAAAAACAGCCGAAAAAGGTTGTGAACCACCGCAAAACCCGCGGCGTCCACCAAGAGGCGACAGAAAGTATAGATGGAATGTGCAGGTGATAGCTGCCGTACCATTGAAGAAATTCCAGCGGACGGGGCGGCCGGTGGCGACTTCCTCGTAGTACCAGACGAAGTCGACCTTGGTCCAGAGGTGGCAGTCGAAACCGTCGACGTGCTCGCGGCCGAGGTAGACGGCGCCGGCGGCGAGCCAGTCGGGCGGCAGGAGCCCCACGGGGAACAGCGTGCTGTGGCAGGACCCGGAGTCGAAGAAGTAGGAGGTGCCGTTGGTCCACTCGACGTCGTAGAGCGGGTCGCCGGAGAGCTGGTCCCGGATGAGGTTCAGGTTGCGGCCCCCGGGCCAGTCGTAGTAGAGGTCGATCAGCTCCAGCCGGCCGCCGCTCGCGGTGAGGTTGGTGAACATCAGCGCGTGGAACTGCTCCGGCCACGGCGTCGGCACAGGGGGAGAGGCGCCGGCACCTGCCGCTGCGGTGGCGGTCGCATTGGCCGCAGCGGGGGATACAGCGGCGAAGAGGAGGAGGAGGAGAAGCGGGAGCACCACGAGGGACGGCGGCGGCGGCGACATCGGCGACTGTTGCGGCTTATCGCTTCGCGTGTGCCTACCTGCAACTAACCACTAACCACAGCCACTCGAAGCTGGACCGAAGGAGTAAGTGCTCTGTAAAGTGGGTCCCACCGGTTCAGTAGTAAAGTGGTAAAATAGGACTCGGAGAAGTTTTATTCTCGGACATGCAGCAGTCCATGGACGAAAGTAGTGACGGGCTGACGGGAACGGGAAGATTTTGGGTTGGGGCCCATGGATTTTAGGTCCAGCAGATGTGGAGCAGGACGATTTTCTTCCTGTTGATTTTCGAGTTTGGTGGCCCGAAACATATTGGGTTCATTTCTGTGGATGGCCAGTGAAGAACCAAAATAGATCATTTTGAATCAAAACTCATGGCTTTTATTAATTAATTGTTCATGTAAGTTATTCAATTTGTTCTAAGTTGAGTCATAGAATCAGGGTTGTTTATTCCCTCTTGTTTATACATGTGAATACACCGTACATATAATAAATGTGTCGCTAGCAAACTGATCATATATCAGTTCGTTAGGTTCCTTGTGATGGAACATGTCCACTCGGATTCAAGTCCTTGACCTGGCACGGGTGCTCGCATTTTTCTTAATTTATTCCAGGATTTAATGGGACTATGCTTTCAGTGGTAGGCAACGTCTCCGTCGACCTGCGGTGACTTCGTGAATCTCGAGATCTGCCGACTCAGTCCTTTGGAGGTGCTCATAGGGGTAGGGTTTGTGTACGTATGTTTATAGGGGTGAGTGTGCGTACGTGTTATGGGCGTCTATGTTGTATCGTGTAATTCTCAAAAAAAATGTGTCGCTAGAAGTTCTTCATTGCTTTTATTATATTTGTCGTATAATGGTGGGTTTTGGGTTTTGGGATCTGACGAGTTTGATGATGAGGGTGGATTATCATCCGCATTGGTGTTCGGGGTGATTTAAGGGTTCGAGTTCGGGTTTCAAGTTTGGGTCAGTTCGGGGTGAAATTTGGCTTATGCCGATGCTTATACTGATTTATTATGAGAGGAAAATATTGTTCGTTCGCTGAAAAATACTGCTGAATTAGTGCAGCAGAACCGTGTATACAAGGATACACTAATGTAAACTGACAAAATTACCCCTTACATTCATATATATAGTACTATTCTCGGCATGCACATGTCTAAAATACAGTAATCCTATATACAAACGGAAGAATATATAGACATACTACACATACTAATAGTACTCCGAAGTCCGTAGAGCGTACACGACACCTTGAGACAGATATTTCTGTAGAGAGCCTCTCTTCAATCACTCATCAGACTTGAAGAGCTCACGTACTGTCGGCACTGCAGCCGGAGACCCGGAGGAGCTACGGCGACCTGAGCTCAAGGAGAAGCAGCGGCGCCGTCGCCACTGCTGCCAGTGCCATTGAAGCAGTAAGGCGGTGCCTGCCACTTTGTGGAGTCCTGCGGCACTCCCCCCCCCACCTCAAAGCTCAGCACGTGCCGCTGCATCCCTGTCCCTGCGAAACACAAGAGCGCACAATTGCATAAGCGCGTGTTTAGTTCCACGAATTTGGAATTTGGGGCTACTGTAGCACGTTCGTTTTTATTTGACAATTAGTGTTCAAACATGGATTAATTAGGCTCAAAACGTTCGTCTCGTAATTTCCCACCAAACTGTGCAATTGGTTTTTTTTCGTCTACATTTAATGCTCCATGCATATGCCGCAAATATTTGATGTGACAGATACTGTAGCACTTTTTTGGATTTTGGGTGGAACTAAACAAGGGCTAAATCATCAATCCATCTACTGCATGCCTCATGCATCAAGCAAAGTAGCCGGACAGGCGGAAGAAATTCAGAGTTCAAGAACACCAATAACCAAGAAAACGAAAAATCACTGTACTGTATATGCCAATTGCCAAGTAGCAAATCAAGAAACTAAAGATACTGGATTTATTTGCAAGTCAGCGATCACTGCACCGTACCATTGACGACGGTCCAGCTGACGGGGCGGCCGGTGGCGACGTCCTCGTAGTAGAGGGCGAAGACGAAGTCACTACTGGATTCAGGCGCGGCACTCGACAAAGCCCTAAATACACTCGGCAAAGGTTTTGCCGAGTGCCGCACTCGGCAAAGGACGCTCGGGAAAAAAATGACCGGTAAAGCAGCCTTTGCCGAGAGTCATTTGTCGGGCATTTGCCGAGTGCCGAGACAGCACTCGGCAAAGAAAACGAGCCATCACAGCGCAGGAGAAGGTGATGGCGGCTTTGCCGAGTGCCAACTCGGACGCCACTCGGCAAAGTTTTTCATTTTTTTTAAATTCTTTGCCGAGCGCCGTCCGGGCTGACACTCGGCAAAGTTTTTTATTTTTATTTTTTTTAAAATTCTTTGCCGAGCGCCGCCCGGGCTGGCACTCGACAAAGTTTTTATTTTTATTTTTTTTTAAATTCGTGGTCATGTTTCGTGAACAAGATGTTTGAAATTTCGGGTCCGTTCCTGGATACGGCCTCACACTACACTCAATACCATGAATATTATTTTTTGAATCATTAAATTTCATTATTCGATGCACGTGCAGTTCAAATTTACATTTTCCGAAAATATTCAATTAAATGAAATAAATTGACTAAATATAGCAAAAAGCTATAAAAATGTACTAAATTTTAACATGGAGTCTCATGTACTGTAGGAGGACTCGAGAAAAAATTTGGAGTTCAAAAGTGGAAAAAAAATAGTTTGCCTTTATTCTTTACCGAGTGTCAGGGTCTGGCACTCGGCAAAGAAGTGGTCTGCCGAGTGCCTACCCGCTGGCACTCGGCAAACCAGGACGGCAGGCGGCAGCCGTTACCTGATGCCGTTTTTTGCCGAGCGCCAGGGTTTGCCGAGGGCCTAACACTAGGCAAAAAGGGTCTTTGCCGAGTGTCTAGCTTTGCCGAGTGCTTGACACTCGGCAAAGCCTTCTTTGTCGAGTGTATATCGTTGCCGAGTGCGGCACTCGGCAAAATAGCCCTTTGCCGAGTGCCCGACTTTTAGCCCTCGGCAAAGAAAGTTGCACTCGGCAAAGGCCCTGTTTCCCGTAGTGAGTTGGACCAGACGTGGCAGTCGAAGCCGTCGACGCGGTCGCGCCCCAGGTACATGGCGCCGCCGCCGCGGGCTTTCTTCCAGTCAGGCGGCAGGAGGCCTACGGGGTACTGGAAGGTGGTGCAGGACGTGGAGTCGAACAGAAAGGAGGTGCAGCCCGCGCCCGTGCGGCCAGTCGTAGTAGATGTCGATCTGCTGCAGCCGGCCACCGCGCACAATCTGGTTCGTGATCACCACCGCGTGGTACTGCTCCGGCCACGACGGTGTCGCCGGCACTGGGGACGGAGCAGGAGGCCTGCCCCCGGCCTCTGTATCTGGTGCGGCTGCGGCTATGGACGTCGTGGCGTTGCCCGCGGCGACTAGGAGGAGTGGGAGGAGCTGGAGAGGCGACATCGGCGGGTTATCCTGCAGGCTGCGAGTGCTGAGGAAGAGAAGTGAACTCTTAACTTTCGTCCACACGAGAAAAGTAGCTCGTAGGGTCCTGGAAAAATAACTGATGCTGATATTATTGTTGATGCTGATTTGTGCGAGATAAAAATACTGTTATTTCGTTGAAACGGTATGGCTGATACGTTCAAACGAACTGGGATACTAGTCTGCGGCTCTCGAGCTGCACCTTGTTGCCCTCCCCAGTCCCACCCAGCCATGCGTGAAGACCGATGACTCGGCAGTCGTCGCCACAGCACTCTAGCACAGTCGCCAGCCAAATCTACCATTGACAAGTCAGTTTGCCCGTGAGGATTATTTTTCTTTTTGAGTAAATTACATGGCCGGTCCTTAAAGTATTAGACGGATTTCATCTGAGTCCACAAACTACGAAATCGCACGTTTGGCTCCTTAATTTATTTAAGTGATCTCATCTAGTCCAAATTAGACACGAGGAGGGTTAGAAGCTGACGTGGCCGTCCATGTGGACCATTTAAGCACAAAACCCTAAAGACGTGGCATGCATGGCCAGGATCTTCCAGCCCAGTCACCACCAGGATGGCCCTGCGAGCTCACCAGGTGAGCGCGAGGGATGCGGGTCACGCCGTCGTGTCGGGGGTAGGCGAGCGAGTGCACTGCCGGTCGCGCCGCCACCGCTGGCACGCCGGGGCGAGCGTGCAACCCGCGGGCCTTGCCGTCGCATCGAGACAGGCGACCACGGGAGAGCGGTGGCAGCTCGGCCATGCGCCTGCTGCCTGCTGCTACCGCTGTGTTGCGCCGCCACACCACCGCCTGCTGCTGCTACGTCACGCCGCCTCGCCCCTCCCTGTGATCTCTCTCTCGCTCTAGCGCCCGAATACGCCGCCGCCCCCGCCATTACCAAGCACACAGCCGAGCTCCCGATCTTCGTCCACAACTCACCTCTAGACTCGATTCCTCCTCCGTTGGGTTCGTAGATGCACGACAAGGCCTCTACACCACTCCACGATGTCAATCCGAGCCGACAACTCCACTCCCCGACCTCACCGGAGCTCCCAGACCGCCACCGTCCGCCCCATCGCCTTGATTCCCTTCCGCGCAGCCTCCCCGCCGTCGAGATCGCCGCAGATGACTTCGCCGTGGCCTCCTCTTCCTGCTCTGCCGCTCGCCGGAGATCATCGTCCGCCGGAGTGCCATCCCGCCTCGACTCCGGTGAGGATGCCGCCAAAGAGAACCCCAGCGCAGCTATAGGGGAGGACGACTCCTACCCCGCCCGATCCAAAACCGACGGTCCAGATCGCTTGTTGACCGACAGTCAACAAACACCTTCCCTCCAATCAGGATACGCCATGTCACCGGTCAATCGCCACCTCGGCAAGGTCAATTTCCAGTCATCGAGGTGGCGGTGACTAGGTTAAATCATGTCCACATGGACGGCCACGTCAGCTTGTAATCCTACTCGTGTCTATTTTGGAACTAGATGAGATCACTTAAATATATTAGGGGGTCTATTTTGGAACCCTCCTCCAC